TATGAAGTGTGATAACTGAGTGAAGATTTTATGATGGTATATTGCCTATTTTCTGAGGCATGAAGAGTCATGAATACCCATGGGTAGTATTACCCACGAGACACGAGTTCTGTTATAACGGAACCCATACACCCGTCTGGATAACGGAACCCATACACCCGTCTGGATAACGGAACCCACACACCCGACTGGATAACGGAACCCATACACCCGACTGGATAACGGAACCCATACACCCGACTGGATAACGGAACCCATACACCCGACTGGATAACGGAACCCATACACCCGACTGGATAACGGAACCCATACACCCGACTGGATAACGGAACCCACACACCCGACAGTGATAACGGAACCCATAGATAACATGGCCAACAGCCCTAACAGCCATCAGACTAGATAAAACACCCTTAAACTGCCTGAACAGTCAGGCTTAAAGGACAAATCACGTCGAAATTCTCATACAAATTAGATTTTGAGTGAGTATGAGTGAAGACTTATGAGAGTGGAGCCTCACCTTGTTGACGATGGAGCTGAAGATGACGGGGAAGATGCCCATGAAGACGGCACTGAGCACCACCAGGATAGTGCCGACACTGGCCAGCACCGTCACCTGCTTGACAGGCACCATGGTGCCACTCTCAACACTCGCTGACACTCAGTGCCACACTAGCCCGTCCTCCGGGTGAGTATGTATATCGCTTAGTGGTGCCTGGCACTGCTGTATGGCACTCTAGTTATCTTCTCAACACGAGATGTGACTCGTCTCAAGTATCACTGCTGTAGGAGGGTGTAGTGTGGTTATCATTACTGTAGGAGGGTGTAGTGTGGTTATCATTACTGTAGGAGGGTGTAGTGTGGTTATCATTACTGTAGGAGGGTGTAGTGTGGTTATCATTACTGCAGGAGGGTGTAGTGTGGTTATCATTACTGTAGGAGGGTGTAGTGTGGTTATCATTACTGTAGGAGGGTGTAGTGTGGTTATCATTACTGTAGGAGGGTGTAGTGTGGATATCATTACTGTAGGAGGGTGTAGTGTGGTTATCATTACTGTAGGAGGGTGTAGTGTGGTTATCATTACTGTAGGAGGGTGTAGTGAGGTTATCATTACTGTAGGAGGGTGTAGTGAGGATATCATTACTGTAGGAGGGTGTAGTGTGGTTATCATTACTGTACGAGGGTGTAGTGAGGTTATCATTACTGTAGGAGGGTGTAGTGTGGTTATCATTACTGTAGGAGGGTGTAGTGTGGTTATCATTACTGTAGGAGGGTGTAGTGTGGTTATCATTACTGTAGGAGGGTGTAGTGTGGTTATCATTACTGCAGGAGGGTGTAGTGTGTTATCATTACTGTAGGAGGGTGTAGTGTGGTTATCATTACTGTAGGAGGGTGTAGTGTGGTTATCATTACTGTAGGAGGGTGTAGTGTGGTTATCATTACTGCAGGAGGGTGTAGTGTGTTATCATTACTGTAGGAGGGTGTAGTGTGGTTATCATTACTGTAGGAGGGTGTAGTGTGGTTATCATTACTGCAGGAGGGTGTAGTGTGTTATCATTACTGTACGAGGGTGTAGTGAGGTTATCATTACTGTAGGAGGGTGTAGTGTGGTTATCATTACTGTAGGAGGGTGTAGTGTGGTTATCATTACTGCAGGAGGGTGTAGTGTGTTATCATTACTGTAGGAGGGTGTAGTGTGGTTATCATTACTGTAGGAGGGTGTAGTGTGTTATCATTACTGTAGGAGGGTGTAGTGAGGATATCATTACTGTAGGAGGGTGTAGTGTGGTTATCATTACTGTAGGAGGGTGTAGTGAGGTTATCATTACTGTAGGAGGGTGTAGTGAGGATATCATTACTGTAGGAGGGTGTGGTGTGGTTATCATTACTGTTGGAGGGTGTAGTGAGGTTATCATTACTGTAGGAGGGTGTAGTGTGGATATCATTACTGTAGGAGGGTGTAGCGTGGTTATCATTACTGTAGGAGGGTGTAGTGTGGTTATCATTACTGTAGGAGGGTGTAGTGTGGATATCATTACTGTAGGAGGGTGTAGTGTGTTATCATTACTGTAGGAGGGTGTAGTGTGTTATCATTACTGTAGGAGGGTGTAGTGTGGTTATCATTACTACAGGAGGGTGTAGTGTGGTTATCATTACTGTAGGAGGGTGTAGTGTGGGTTATCATTACTGTAGGAGGGTGTAGTGTGGGTTATCATTTCTACAGGAGGGTGTAGTGTGGTTATCATTACTGCAGGAGGGTGTAGTGTGGTTATCATTACTGTAGGAGGGTGTAGTGTGGTTATCATTACTGCAGGAGGGTGTAGTGTGGTTATCATTACTGTAGGAGGGTGTAGTGTGGGTTATCATTACTACAGGAGGGTGTAGTGTGGTTATCATTACTGCAGGAGGGTGTAGTGTGGTTATCATTACTGTAGGAGGGTGTAGTGTGGTTATCATTACTGCAGGAGGGTGTAGTGTGGTTATCATTACTGTAGGAGGGTGTAGTGTGGTTATCATTACTGTAGGAGGGTGTAGTGTGGTTATCATTACTGCAGGAGGGTGTAGTGTGGTTATCATTACTGTAGGAGGGTGTAGTGTGGTTATCATTACTGTAGGAGGGTGTAGTGTGGTTATCATTACTGCAGGAGGGTGTAGTGTGTTATCATTACTGTAGGAGGGTGTAGTGTGAGCCACCACTGCTGTAGGAGGGTGTAGTGTGAGCCACCACTGCTGCAGGAGGGTGTAGTGTGTTATCATTACTGCAGGAGGGTGTAGTGTGAGCCACCACTGCTGCAGGAGGGTGTAGTGTGTTATCATTACTGCAGGAGGGTGTAGTGTGAGCCACCACTGCTGCAGGAGGGTGTAGTGTGAGCCACCACTGCTGCAGGAGGGTGTAGTGTGAGCCACCACTGCTGCAGGAGGGTGTAGTGTGAGCCACCACTGCTGCAGGAGGGTGTAGTGTGAGCCACCACTGCTGCAGGAGGGTGTAGTGTGAGCCACCACTGCTGCAGGAGGGTGTAGTGTGAGCCACCACTGCTGCAGGAGGGTGTAGTGTGAGCCACCACTGCTGCAGGAGGGTGTAGTGTGAGCCACCACTGCTGCAGGAGGGTGTAGTGTGAGCCACCACTACTGCAGGAGGGTGTAGTGTGAGCCACCACTGCTGCAGGAGGGTGTAGTGTGAGCCACCACTGCTGCAGGAGGGTGTAGTGTGAGCCACCACTGCTGCAGGAGGGTGTAGTGTGAGCCACCACTGCTGCAGGAGGGTGTAGTGTGAGCCACCACTGCTGCAGGAGGGTGTAGTGTGAGCCACCACTGCTGTAGGAGGGTGTAGTGTGAGCCACCACTGCTGCAGGAGGGTGTAGTGTGAGCCACCACTGCTGCAGGAGGGTGTAGTGTGAGCCACCACTGCTGAAGGAGGGTGCCGGGTGGTGGAGATGAAAGGTGAATGACTCTGTGGTTGTAGCCTCACTCTACCGGTCAATAATAGAGCTTGCTGACCCTCCACGCCCCACACACAACACGCACTTATCACCTTTCTTTCCGCGGTGATTTTCCACGAGTATTAACTCGGAGATCACTAGACGTTATGAAGGAGACGGAAGGAGGGAGGGACACGACACAGTGACGAGAGCTGAGGGTGCGTGTGCTTTGCCCGCCGCGGCTGGCAACGTTCTGGCCGACACCGCTCCCACTCACCCCTAAACGTCCCGCTCGGTGCCACCTCTTCCTTTCTATCTCGTTCTTCCCCCTCAATAAACCATAACTACCTTCTCTAAAAATCTGATAAATCTTCATTACTATTATTTATAAAAATTTTGTCTAAGTACGAGTATGCATTTATTGTCTATTTATAGGTTTCAAAGGAAGGAATATAATGATTGCAGGAAATGACATTTGGCACCACAGGATGTCGTCATTATGTAACGTTTTGGGCGCGTGCTGGGAACAGCTGATCAAAGTCAACATTGCCTTATAAATAGCAATATTTATAAATATATTTTTGTTAATATTTCCATTGCACACAATGGAGTCTATTTTATGTTAAGTGCAACTGGCGGCAACTCAATCAATTTATCGTGCGTTATGAATTGTTATAAACACGTATGAGGCAACATCCTGGACACTTACTTACCATACTCAGTACGTATACGCCAAGGTCCACGAAATATACCTTATATATATATATATATATATATATATATATATATATATATATATATATATATATATATATATATATATATATATATATATATTAGTATATTTTGGTAGCAGTCTTTCCTGTAGACATATATTATTAAATATGACCGAAAAAGTAAGATTAATAATTCTAACACGAATTTTCTCAATCTTTCGTACATTACGCTTCACTGTTGGAGGTAAATCAAAAATCACTTCTCCAAAAATCATTTTTATTTTTATATTCATTCCAAAATTCATTTTTATAAAATAAAAATGAATTTTGGAGAAGTGATTTTTGATTTACCTCCAACAGTGAAGCGTAATGTACGAAAGATTGAGAAAATTCGTGTTAGAATTATTAATCTTACTTTTTCGGTCATATTTAATAATATATATATATATATATATATATATATATATATATATATATATATATATATATATATATATATATATATATATATATGTATATATATGTCGTACCTAGTAGCCAGAACGCACTTCTCAGCCTACTATACAAGGCCCGATTTGCCTAATAAGCCAAGTTTTCCTGAATTAATATATTTTCTCTAATATTTTTTTCTTATGAAATGATAAAGCTACCCATTTCATTATGTATGAGGTCAATTTTTGTTATTGGAGTTAAAATTAACGTAGATATATGACCGAACCTAACCAACCCTACCTAACCTAACCTAACCTATCTTAATAGGTTAGGTTAGGTTAGGTTGCCGAAAAAGTTAGGTTAGGTTAGGTAGTCGAAAAACAATTAATTCATGAAAACTTGGCTTATTAGGCAAATCGGGCCTTGCATAGTA